CAGGGTTAAGTGTGTGGTACCTACCCATAGAACGGTGCGAGGGGCGAATGACCGCCTCCGGAGATATATCCTCCAACACTGACAGTCTTGCTGTTTCCCCCTACAATCGTCTGGTTGATTTTCAAAAGTTCGTCCAGTATATATCCGACCTGGGCGCCGCCCCCAACCGTCACAGCCGTGCCGTCGATGGTGAAGCGACAACCTTGCGGCTGAAAAGACGTATGGGTTTCCAGGTTCTGCATGTGATGCACCCATATCGAAAGAGCGCCGGGAGCTTGGCTCCTGCCCTGATAGTCGTGTCCAGTACTCTTAACCACAACTCGTACGTTATTGGCGCGCGCTGCATGTGTGATCAGTCACCCCGTGCTACCGTGGTAGCAGGTTGGGGAGGACTCACCGAAATCCAAGCCCGACTTGACGTCTAGGGCGGTCGTCGCGTTCACGACGTACGCAGGGTATCCAGAACTGCTGCATGGACCATCAGGGAAGGTAGGAAGACAGGTATCGTTGTTGAATTGTTGCCCTTTTATGCGAGTTAGAATCGAGGTCATCCCACAGCAGCTATGAACCCTTTGTACTCACACATGTTTGACACGGGGTCCGACTGGTGAAAGTCGTAGGTGCTCCACGCTGCGACGACGGCGGCGCACTTGTAGGCGTCGTAGGCCGCCTGTTCGGGATGGCAGACAGCTCCAGGAGGAACCGCTCTGAGAAGCTTCCCGCCGGTGGTGGAGTTGAGTTGGTCCCAGGCCGCGTCGGAAGGCCATCCGGCCGAGCCGGGAAAGGCTTTGCATGCCGCTTCCCCGCTGTCCGCCCTTGGGTGCCACCCTGAGAAGGCATTGCCGTAGGCGACTAGAGGCGCGAGGCTAAGGAAAAGTCTTGGTGCGGTTAGCATGGCGCTGTGAGCGAGAAACGAAACTACCTAATGTGCTGCCGTAATGAACCTACCACGGATGAGCGCGTAACGATATTTAAATGTCAATTTCCTATAATCGCGTCACAATACGATCAACAATGTGCTGCGCCGCACACATGAAGTATCAGCTCGCACTGATTTCCGTGATCGAGTTAGTTACCAAGTAATTGGAATCAGCACGTGCAATCTGGTAAGTGATGAGTACCAGATCGTGCCTTATCCCACGCGCCTTGCCATGCGAGAATGTAACCTTGAGGTGAGATGCTGAAGGGCCCCGGTCTTGGTGTGGCTTCCGATTCGTCCACCTCGTTGTCGCTTTCGCTTTCGCCTATCGCCCGTGCACAAGATTAGTTGGACACAGCCTCCCACCGAACTGTACAGCTATACCTGCCTATGATGATAGAGTATATGACTCATCCAACACAGTACGTTGGATAGCAGTGATGAGGGCGTTGAGATTGAGGTAAAACCCCTGTCTCAGCCTAGTATTTACGTGTCGAGCGGCCTCCAGCATAAAAAACAGCTTGCATGGAATTATTCAACAATATTATGCAAATGCATTAGGTATTAGCATAATTTACCTCTTTTCCAAAATCTTCGCCGTTTCCGAACAAACACCTACAACTAGAATTTTTCCTCCGTAAGAATCGCGCTTTGGAAATATGCCCGACTCTGTTGCCGATTTCCCCGACGTCTCATCTCATATTCTCTCTTGCTTTGATCAGTCTTAACCTCCGAGGCGAAATATGACGCGTAGTCACCGACACAGGTTATATCAAATCGTTATCCTCGTCTTCCTTCTTAGGCGCAACCTCAACTGTAACATGAGTCGTACAGAGGATCCCATCCCCTCCATGCAGCTGCTCGATTGACTCTGATAAAGAATGTCTCGACGATCGTACTTGGGTTAGCGAGATGCCATGGTCGCCCGTTCTGGTAAATAAATTCCTAGACAGCTTTTTATTAAGTCCAGAATGAGGCTCGTCGGCAGCGAATCTCACTGTCCGTTTCCGCGGCATTAGGAGAGTAACCAACCTCCTCCACTTCAGTCTCATGGCCTTGAAGGCTTTCGGAGAAGCAGGCGCGCAGAATACAATGAACAAGCTGGTCTGCTCGGCGAGAACCCAGAGATACATTGCTGATGCGTCATAAAGGCTGTCTTGCGATTTGATAAATTTGATTGACTCCGACACGCGAAACGCGGCTGTGACACAAGCACTGCGGAAAGCAGGTTAGCAACACTGACAGCCTCCATCCTTAATTTTCACATACAGAATGCCCAAGGCAAAGATGAGTGAGACGCCAACTTTATTCTTCGACGAGGTATGTAAGCCCCATATCACTCTCTGCGGAAGCACGAGGATAATGATGTTGGATATTAGATTGATGACGGCGGCCGGGACATGTAAAATTTTAGTGTCGATGCAGGTGCCCTCGGAAATCGTGACATCCCATATCTTTCTATATGGAGTGCAAGAAACATTTTCGACGATGACCCAACTTGCGTGGAAGAGTATATGAACCTACTGCCATTAGTGTTGTCTATTCTACGTGGGTCTTGGTTCATAGGTAATTGACTTGAAAGGAAGGGGGTTAACCGGAGGAGCCAGGGTAGAAAGCAGAGGTTCCAAAGATGACAAGGGACACTTACCCATAAGACGAGGCGACATGTCCAAAAGAAGTAATTTCGAGTTCCGGGGGCAACAAATAGTCGCCTCCACTCGAGTAGAATGGCTGTTTTCAAGAGCAAGATCGTGACCGCGCAGAGGTTGAAACCCACATGGAAGATCTATAATCCACGATCAGCCAGATCGACCTCCTTAGTTGACGTCTTCTAACTAATAGGTAACTATGGGCTACTTACGTAGAGAAGAACTGGGACATGTCTTACTTGAATGTCCCACTGATGGACAAACAAGCCGTTGGCCTGGATGGTCCAATAATTGCAGTATACACAGCCAATAAATATGCCCTGTAGGATTAGTTGCGGTTCGTTACATAGCTCTCAACTCGCAAGGACACTAACAAACACTATAAACGCCAGTACTATCAGGGGATCGAGTCAGTACAGTGACTGCGAGCTGCGATTCAGTTGGCTAAAGACACTTACCATCTTCAACCTCAATCCTTTTCGTACAGAAGAACCGAGAATAACCACGAAGCACAATGGCTACAGCACTTAGTATCAAGCAGAGGGCGTCAGTAAACTGCGCGACTGTGTTTCCGTACGAATTCGAATTTGGGTGCGCGAAATCCGGGATTACCCCTTCGGGAGGTTGTAGCGCAGGCGAGTTGAGAATTGCTTCTTGTTCTGCTGGAGATAGAGACTGGAAGTTGTCGAGAGACATTGTCGACTTGTAAGATGCGGTTCGTCTATCCTTCAGGGTAAGATCCATTGGTACGATAGTCCTCTACTTTCCAGTTTCCGTTTCAAGGCTGCCGAGATGGTATATGTACCTCCTACCTAAGCTACGTAAGTAATTATAAAGGGATAGATAGCAAGCACTGCTCCGAATGACCAAATTGACACGAAACGCTTGCTACATACCTCTCAAAATAGTAGGCCTGCACGCGCCGTAGTTTGTCCTGATTTTTCATCCAGACCCTGTGTAGGTAGCTATCCAACCTCGGCACCGAGACCTTTGCTCAGAGAAGTGAGCAAACAGTCCTATCAGAACAATGAAAACACTTGACTTCCATATCTGATACCCGACTTAACGACAGAAGACATACCTACGATTGAACGGGGAGAGCGAATATCACAGATACCAATCAGAAATTTCGTGATGAAAATGAGTTCGTTATGAAATGGCGCCCGTTTGTTTCCATTTTATTCGTGGAGTTTCGTAGGGGGTAAAATCTGCTTATTACACGCGGTCTCGCCGTAAGAATCTGTTGGCCGACTTCGTTCACATAAAACCGCCACAGCGTCTGAGCGTTGTCACAAGGTTAATAGCAAACTTACCAACACAACGATATCCCTAGATGCAGGAAATGGCGCCTCAAGTCCAATATGCGGTCATCTATCCCTGTCGGGTATTCTTTTGGTACCTAGGTTCCCATTTGCTGCCTTATGGACTCGATAGTATAAGGGACCTTTAACTAGGTACCTACCTAGAATGACTAGGTACCTACCTAGAATGACACTACTCAATTATGGCATCCCTACGTCTTTAGTATCACAATTTTAATTCCAATAAGTTTTACCGACATACTAACGTATTGTAAATTCTCTTGTGGATTATTTCATGACTACCTAGGTACCTACCTCCTTACCGGAAAGGGGGGAAAGTTCAAATCTATCTCTATATTCTTCGACTTTTAATACAAGCAACTAGGTTCATACGTTGGTAAACTCCAGCACTCTGTAAGTCCTCTAGTCTGTTATTATCACACTATATCCATTATTAGCCATGTGATTTGTATTTATTAATAGTTTTAACGCATAAAGATAAACTAAGTAGATTGAATAATTCCATCGAGTCTTAGGGGCTTAGGGGTTGAACGGATGACACAATCTTCCTGGATAGCGGCTTCGATATGACCTTATTGATAAGGAGGCTGGGTAGCTATGGGTCCAATAGTATAAGATGGCGTATGCTCTGAACAGACCTCTTTCATTATGTCATTGCCCAAAGGTTACGACACGGATGTTTGCCAGAGAGATATCTCCGGAGGGCAGAAACAGCGAATTGCCATTTTCGTCTTGGAGGAAGGGAAGGAAGGTCGTCGAGAAAGGAAGCCGTAGCTACCTTGTCAAGAAGCAGGGTGTGTACTAGGAGATGGTAGGTTTTCCAAGATTAGATCAGTAGTAAAGTTGGCAATCGCCAGCCGGGTAAATATCTTGAATTATGTAATTGCTTACCTGTACAGCCCCCATGGGAAAGGATCCATTATTCAGATATCCAGCAAATTCTTAAAGCCGGTAATAAGAAGAGGTCTATGTATTTATACATAATTCCTGCTTTATACATGTACCCCACACACGTAACAGAATCCAAAATCAGATTACGAATTTCACCACGGGATGCACCTAAACACCTAAAAAGAAGAAACATGGACGACAGGGCAAAATAATGTGCGATGACAAGAGGGGGATTCGAACCCCCGCCTCTTTCGAGACTAGAATACACCCCTTAAGAGAGGGTAAGAGAGAATTGAATTTCTTGAGTCTAGCGCCTTAGACCGCTCGGCCATCTTGCCTCTCTGCTCTTATAGCTTTTCATTGGTTGAAGAATAATTCATCTACGCTCAACTAAGACATCAAGCCCGGAAAGGCTGATCTTCGGATTATTACGTAATCATGATAAATTTCGTCTGGCTGGGTGCAAATATCCAAATACCATATGTCAGCAGAAATGAAACATGTTGAAGTTCGTTAAGCAGCTAAACAGGCGTGTATATGGTAAGAGGTAGATACCTAGGTATTCACCTTTTTATTAAGATCGGGCTTTAACCTTGGAGCCCCACAGTAACGCCAACGGCTGTCACATCGACGCCCCGGACGCCACGCTCTCATCACTCGGCGCATGTCGCATTCGCTTGCCCATGTGTTTAAATAGTTCCTGCAAGTATCTTCGCATCTACTCGTTCCATATAAAAGTCCTTTATCAGAAGACCTCCCAATCCAGTTAGGGGTTGCCGGGGGTTGCCGTTTCCAATCTATGTCGTCGGACTTCCCCCGGACTTCGGCCGTCTCCTCTATCAACTGCCATCCTCCCGCAACCTCGTCCTTGTCAAAGTAGCGGAACAAAATGCGATCGGCACCGTTCTCGAAAACGAACTCACGCCGCCAGAGATGCTGTAGCTGTTCCGGGGGAGCGCCTCCAGTCGCGTTGATTCTCTCAACTTTCCGGTTTCGAAGGGCTAGGAAATAGAGTGAACGGGTATTCTATATCCTATCTTGAGCGGGATAATCTCGAAGCTGTTCCTTATTAGCACCAACTAGGGGTTTATAGGACTTAAGGAGTATTACTTACTAACGCTACAGCTTTCTCGCGTGAGAGGGGATCTCTGGAAAACATTGATGTGATCAGCAGGACCCACGAAACATTGCAGTGGAGGGAGAACCGGTGTGCCAGGTTTTTAATGTCATGTTTGATTATCCGCAAAGCAACCTCGGCAAGAGCCAGATATTCGCGGAATAACGGTGGACGCGCCTGCAATGTCTCGATCTCGAGAAACTGGGGGGCATTACCGAAGATATAGACACCCACGTACTCTAGGCGCAGATAGATCGCTTTCAGACATTCTGGGGATTCGGCATCGAACGTGAGAATTCTGTCGAAAAGGTATCGAAATGCAGCATCCAGCTTTTGAAGCACCTTGCCGTAGTTCGCAGAGAATTCCGTGAACTGGCCGTTGCTGAGAAGGGCGGAGTAAAACTTCTCGACGATCTCGTCGTCTTTAGAGGGGAGACACTCGCACCACCTCCGTCATGATGGAAGCCATGACGACCTAGGCGCGCTGCGCAGCGATCCAATACTCTTCGAACTCATTGAGGTCATTGAAGACAGCTGGAATGTGATACATGCTTGCCCTGGGGCGAGTTAATCGGCTCAGTAAGACCATGAAGGACTCCATGGTTTTCCCAATGTTCCGCAGCCCTTTGGCAAGAGACGGCAACGATGGGCCATCTCCATTCTTGCCGTTAAGCACCGTTCTTGACTGCATCGCCAGGGGTATATATATGCTGGATATCACTTCTATGAGAGGGGTTGGCGCAAGACTTGGCTCGGCTACCCGGCGTTCTAGTTCTTCACCTGTGAGAAGCTCAAGTAGCATGGATAAACCATGGTTAATGTAGGTTAAAGCAGCTCTCTTTCCGCCTCCGAGTGTTCAAACACTAAACCTAAAACTGACAGAAAAATTGCGTCCCGCGTGGAAGCTCGCTGGCTCTATGACTTGAAAGGGCGGCAGTAGCACGCGATAGCATAGAAGTGATACGTATCTCTTTCCACTTTCGGGGCGGTTGGCCCATCAATCACGCGGAGCGATTCTTGGGCAGATTGACGATGCCACAAGCTCAGTGCGCCGACGGCGATCGCGGCGGAGCGAATCGTGCACTCGGAGAAAGCAAGCCGGGGCAATGAAGTCAATAAAGTCCACAAGTCATTGCATCCGACAGCAGTTATCCAGTGGCCTGACGACAACTCCACGAATTCTTGGAAAATAGAGTATCCCCCTGCCATCCTGAAAGTCGAGAGAGTCCGGATCAAGTTGCAGTTACATAGGTGGAGATACGCTGCGAACTAGCTGCCTAGAATCCCATCGCACCTGGAATGGGCTAGACGGTTTCTTCCTTGGTATAATAACATAGCCTTCGCATGCCCCTCGGCTCTGTACTAGTTCTTAGTTATTAAATACCGGTGTGTCGGGTGTAAGGGGTTACAAACCTCGAGGCAATTATCGCAACTCGGGCGAGTCTCATCGCACTTTACGTGTCGCTTCTTGTACGGGCTAGTTTTGGTTCGGTTTCCGTTATTAGTTGCTCCATTCGTGGCCTCTTGAGCCCCTTTATTTCAATCTGTTTTAGTCCAACATAGATCAATCTAGCGGCGAACCAGCTTTCGCAATTTCATCTTAAAAGCAGATGAACTTTGGATTGGCTCGAGTAGTAAACACATACCAAGGTTATAGAATTCATAGCCTTCATAGTAATTACATGATTCGGCTTAACGATGAAGAATCGACAGCGACTTTCGATGGAGCTGTACCTTTAGCGCATAGTCCTCGCTGACACATCACGCAGCAAACTAGCGCATTGCTACCTGCAAGATCGTCGAGTGCAGGGGCCGTGCCATACCGTCTTACTAATACATACATAGTACATGCATATCCATACCTTATAGGTACATATCTACTTCGGACTAGGGTATCTTTTTGAATTATGTTACGTTTCACATTGATTATACCACGGGTTAATTTCATGTCGCCCGCCGGCTGATTATTTATAATTACTAAGTATTTTTATCCGATAAAAACGGATTTTACTTTTACCATTTAAAATAATAATAATATTTAATAAATTATAAAAAATTAAATTTTAAAATAATTAAAAAATAAAAAATATTATACGATTTTTTAAAATTTAATTATTAATATTTAATATATTATTTTTTAATTTAATATATTATTATAAAACGATATTTTATTAAACGAATAAGCTTTTTTATAAAATTGAAATTTATAATTTATTTTATTAATTTAATTAATTTTTTAATATATATTATAATATTTTAATTATTATTTAAATATTAAAATTTAAATTTTAATTTAAATATTTTTTTTTTTAAATTTTTTTAAATATATTTAATAAGATTTAAATCGGAAAAATATATAAATTATTTAATTATATAAATTTTATAATTTTTAAATTATTTTTTAATTTATTTTAATTTATAAATTTTCATATTATTTTAAATAAAAAGTTTATTAATTTTATAAAATAATATTAAATTATTTTTTAATATATTTATATAATTTTTAAATAAAATATTATTTTATTATAATTTAAAATTATTTTAATATATAATAAATAAATTAATATTATTTTTTTTATTTTATAATTATATTATATTTTATATTATAATAAAAATATTAAATTTAATATATTTTTTAATATTTATTAAATTATTTTAATATTTTTCGAATAAAAATTAAATTATTTATTTATAAAAATTATTAAAATTATTTTTAATAATATATTTATTAAAAAAAAAAACTTATTTAAATATATATAATATTTCTAAAAGCTTTTATTTTTAAAAAAAAAATAATTTATTATATATATTAAAAATTATTAAATATATATATTTCGTAATACGTTATTTTTAGTAGGCTATCTGGAAGAAAGATGACTAAGCGCGGCTCTGCGAGCCTTGACCTCTTCTAGCCAATCAGCCCACTTAGCGATAGTTTCTAATTGACACACACACATTACACACTCTGATCAGAAGCGCCTTGCATCTGGTAGCTTCACTGCTACACCGTCTGCAATTTCAATTGCAGATGCCCTATCCTAATTCCTTCTATACGATGGCTCCTTTGAATTAAATCGCTGCGAAGCTTGCCTGCCTTCTTTCTGCCCGATCGCGGCCGGTCCCTGCGTTCTGGCCTGAAGCTGAGGTTTCAACTAGCCGACACCCTCTCAACGGATACGAATAAATCCATCTTGACCATACGAAATAATCGGCTTTCTGCATTAAAGATTTGCTTCTAGGCTCGCCTGCCTTCGGCCCGAATGGGTCCTGAAGCTGAGGTTCTAGTCAGCCACTCTCAACGGATACGAAAAATCCATCTCTCCTCACGATCAATCGTACGATGATTGAATCGTTTCGGCCCCTTTCGGTAGATCGATTACAAGATTCGTACATCTTGAAGAATCCGACCTCAATTCTTCTACCTTCCTACCCGACTACCTAATTCTTCCCGATCGGCCGACCGAACCGATTTCTCTCCGATCTATCTCTTGGGCCCGGCGTGGCACCTGTATTATGGAGGATTATATCGCTAGAAGCTATCTTTAAGAAGCTATCATTAAGGAGCTATTTTTAAGATATCGATTAGAAACAACGTGGTCGTTGTCTTTTTCTTTCGTTGAGGCGGGAGATGGTAGGCTATCTAGAAGAAGGATGACTAAGCGCGGCTCTGCGAGCCTTGACCTCTTCTAGCCAATCAGCCCACTTAGCGATAGCTTCTAATTGACACACACATTACACATTCTGATCAGAAGCGCCTTGCAATTTTTTTAAATAATAATATTATAATTATTTTTTAAAAATATTATTATTTACGTAAATATCTAATGCGTTTTATATTTTTTAATATATTATATAAAAATTTCGATAAATTTTTAAATATAATTATTTATTTTATATATTTTAAATTATATAATCCTTTTTTTTTTAAATTTTTAAACGTAATAATTAATTATTATTTTAATATTAAAATATATTAATAATAATATTAAATTAATAATTAAATATAATTATAATAATTATACGTTTAATTTTTTTTTTAATAATATTTATAATTACGGTTTTAATTTTAAAAATAAATTTTTATATTTTTTAATAATTATTATTAATTTAATAATTAAATTTACGAAATTCTAATATCTTTTAAATATATAATAATAAATTAAATAATTATTATTATTATTATTTTATTTAAAATTATAATAAATACGTATTCTTATCGGA